CCCCAAAACCCCAAAACCCCAAAACCCCTGGGAAATTGTAACTGGTTGAAATTGGAACTGGGTTGTTAAGGAAATGTGGCTGTTATGTGTAGGGTTTTGGTACGGTGAGAACAGTTACTTGGACCAACATTGGAGATATTTAAGCTACTTAAGAGATCTCTGTGTACTAGAACTTTTGGGCTCGTTCGTTGATGTTTGTATCCTGAGACATCGTAGAATGTCTAGATCTATTGCTTTTATCAATTAAATTAAAGCCACTTTTCAGTTAAACCTTCAAGAGCGTTTACCAGAGTCATAATCTCAACAGCTACAGCTCTCCTCACAAACCATCATCACTTTGGGCTAACCCCTCGTCCATTGCTGACCCTCAGTAAGACACCTAACGACCTGGAGATATGAATCTGATTATCCGCTCTTTAAGACAAAGCCTTAAGTTACAGCTTTTCTACTTCTAAGGCCAGTCTTCTGCTTACAATCATATTCTCCTATATCTTCCCTTTAAAATTCCAATATTCCATTAAAATCCGTCCTCACCTAGATACTTTTCTTGTATCTTTCCTTCTTAATTGGTCTCAGTTGGCTCTTACATTTCTCCTGTCTCAATGCTAAGGTCTGGTTCTGAGTGGTTGGACCAACAGCCCTTTTCCCACAGGATTATCCTGGCTCGGACTATCCCCCAGCTACATAATTGGAAGATTCAGGAACCTGGGATTCCGAATCTTGGGAAATAAAGAATATTTAAAATGTTTTAAAAAAATTAGGAGACTTAGGTTGGACCAAAGTAGCTTGAAGAGGGTTGGATGTTCCTTCTTGGAGCTGTGTGTGAGAGATTAGGATCTCTTACTTGCGGAGTTTTGGGGTTTTGGGATTCCTTCGACTGATTTTGATAGTCTTGATCGATATTCATCTATTCTTTTGACGCTGTTTATAACTTGGCTAGATTTTAAATGTAAGTGAGTTCTTGGAATTATCTCCCCTCCTAACCCTACTTCACCTACCATCTCTTCCCCTCCCCCAATTTCTTCTGGGGCACACTCTCAAAAACCTTCTTCACACTCTTATAATCCTCATCCAACTGCTGTCCTCCCTGTCATCTCCTTGCTGACCTCGGTAAGTCAAGTATCTTCTTCCTCAGGACAGCTCTGTTATAATATATTACTTCAGCCATGGACTTCATTACTTCAGTAGAAGTGGAGTAATCACTAAGGGATTAGAGGAGGCTTACGCTTTATGGAGGATTTTAGAGATGTGTTTTTGAGCCTTGGCTGCTTGTTTACGCTCGGTTTTGATCTTGTGAGAGTAGAAGGAGATGAGTTTTTGGAGATTGGAGCGAGTGGGGTTGGTTGATGTGGGGATGTTGAGTGGGTGTTTTGGTATGGTGAGATGGTTTATTTGGATTTTGGAAGGGATTTCTGATAGGGTCTGTTTTGGACGTCTAGTGTCAAGGGATTGATTTAGAGACACTGATAGGAAGGTTATTGTGACTCGCCAGGGTTGATAAAAATGATAAAGTTTCAATAACGGCTCAAAAAAGCAAAGCATTCAATCCTTGACACTTTCAAATAGATAAAGTTTCAGTTATATTCTGAATATGAAATAGAGCAATAAATTTCTAAATCTTCTTTCAAAAATAGTGAACCAATTAATACATATCCTTCTACTCTTTAAATATAAATCTTTCCATATGAAAGCAGTTGCTCTTAAGAAGTTTAATCTAAACCCTCATCAATTTTAGTAATATTATTTCTCCATTAGAGTAATCAAAGGAAAATGAAATATTTATCAAGAAGTTTTGATTATATAAATCTATTCAAAGAGCCTAAAAATAAGACAAAAGCTTTAATTTCTATTATTCTGGAACAATCTGGGAGTCTAATAGGAACTTCTTGAGAGCATTTTAGGTGTATGATCAGTGAAATGTTACCAAAATCTTGGAGTATAACAAATTTGGTTCGAATCTTCTTTAAGAATGACAGACTAAGGCCGATAACTCAAGAGTTAAAATGTTTGTTTTTATTTCAATCCTAATTTTTGTACACCAAAAATCCTGTTGCTCTGTATTTTTAATAGAATTTAAAACCCAGGACTTCGAGTCTCTCTTACCTTGTTTATAACGAGGGTTTGAGTCTACATGTTGAATTCTTCTGTTGGATTGGTACTTATCAGGTGTTTTACCTTCTAAACAATCAGAAGTGGACTTACTTCGTATTTTCACAAGATTTATCACACTTTTATTGAGTATTGGAAGCCCTTCTTTTCGTTTGAACGAAAATATCCTCCTCCTGGGTTGAGCTCTTGTTGTGAAAGAATTCCCATACACTTCTTTAGGGTCCATTTTCAATTAAAATATTTATTTGAGGGGTTTTGGGGTTTTGGGGTTTTGGGGAGAT